CTGGGAGTTGAAGTCCACTCATCTTAAAGTGGCCAAGTTTGGACAACACTGCACTAGTGGATATTACCCCATGAGACCCTAGGGAGGGGATAGCCTCCTCCTCTTCCTATTCCCACACTCTTGCTGCGGACTGAGGAGGCGCTTGCTCTGGAGCGTTTCCCCTCCCTTCTGATAACCTTGATCCTCCATTCCAGTATCTTCCTCGCTCAAGCCTTCCATTACAGATACTGAATTAAACCCCTTCTTTAATTTTTTGAAGGAACATGGAAGGTAAGGATGCCTCAGCTTTTTACGATCGCCAAGTATTCCGCTTTGATTGGCCTTACGTCCCCCATAACCTCTGTCCCACCTGCAGACACGTAAATCAGGCACCACCCTCTCCTATGATGTCCACTACTGGATTGGAAGCTGCTCCTCACAGGATGAACAGGGCTGCGCTGCCATTTATACCATCCAACTGGACGACCATCTTGGCGGAGTCCCTGTGCAGCACCGGGAGGTGCAAGGCTATGAGTCTGAGCTGTTCAAGGGCTACTTTAAGAAAGGGGTCATGTGAGTATGCTTGATCTTTGCCAGAAGGCTGAGAAGGCAGTGGCCATTAGAGAAGGAGGCCATGTGATGTGTGCCTGTGTGCGCATGATGGCCAGGGCTTTGCTTCAATGTCAGTTATGGCAGTTCACACCATGAAATTGCTGCATGATGCTTTGAAGCACTGATAATATATTGTAGAAGAATTATTTTCTTCCCCTGACGTGCTTTTCCCTTTTATTAGAAATGCCTGTGAGCTGAATTCACAGGGCCTGCATTACTAAATCCAACCACCAGATGGGGATAGTCACGACACAGTACTGTACTAACAACAGGCTTTCCCACTGTGGAAGTGAAATGCCCTCCCCTCATCCTTTGCACTAGTTGACAGAAAACTATACTGGTGTGAATTTGCTGTCCCTGTTCCTGATCTCTGTCCCTTCTCCACTACTTTTGTTTCCAGTCACTGCCAGTCACCTGAGTTCCCCTGAAACCATTAGCCACAAAGCCCTACACACGGGGGGTTTGTGAGTCCCAAATTAGGCTAAGCAAAATGAGCAGGAAGGCCCATGCACTGTCTGACGGATTCTCAAAAGGGAACTTTTGGGCTGAAGGTGCTTGATAAACAACTGGGGGCTTTTTCCAGGCTCCCCAAGCTTCCCTGGACCTTTGCTCCGTCGCCTTCCAGAGAGAGGACCGGGGCAGGAGTGGGGAGAATGCGGAGAAGCCCTGGGCTGGACCAGTAGCTGAGTCAATGATGCAGTCTGGTTAGACTCCCCTTACAACCCACGCAGGGTCCCTTTGTTCAGGAGGGTTGGGCGATTCTATGCGTCTCTACTGCAGAGGAGGTTCCCTCTCCAATAAATTCTGTAGTCTATAGCAGTGTTTTTCAACTTTGGCGACTCTAAGATGTGTGGACTTCAACTCCCAGAATTCAACATGCTGACTAGGGAATTCTGGGAGTTGAAGTCCACACATCTTAGAGCTGAGCAACATTGGTCTATAAAATTACAGCCCTGGGCATTCCTTTGGGAAATTTTGGCTTGTATAGGAATTCATTTATTTAACCTCCTCTTCTGTCTGGTGCAGAAAAAAACCTCTACTGGATGGAGCTAAAAACAGCAGTGATACCCTTTTCTCCTTTTTTAACAGCCCAGGAATTTTATACAAATTAATGACTGGCAAAACAACTATGAACCAGGATAGCAAGAGCAAGCATCTGCCAAGGTCCATACATCATCAGGATGTTCAGGGTAGATACTGGGTAGGAAGGAGGAACGGCAGCCCAGCTGGGGAATGAATCATTTCCCCCTGCTTCCCAAGGCTCACTGGGGCTTATTGCCCTGGCTTTAATTTGCTAATTGCACCTTCAGTGTACCTGAGCTTTGCAGGGTGTCAAAGTCCAGGTCACCGTCCCAAGCAATAGCAAAGGGATGGCATCATAAAGGGGAGGTGAAGGAAGGGTGAAAAATGCTTCTATGAATGATGTCCAAAATGGTGACCCAGAAAGATCCTGCATTCCTTCTCTCCTGCTCTCTCTCCACAACTGGTTTGTGCTCATGGGGAGAGGAGTCAAAGATATTTATTTAAGACATTTATTTAAAGACATTTATTTAAGGCACTGATGATGTTACCTAGTTGGGTGATGAAACATCTGCAAACAAACAACCAAGCTCAGAGAGCACCAAGGACTCCACTCCATTTAAGAGCTTAGGAGGTCACAGTACCAAAAATCTGACCTTACAGATTTTATATACCTTGGGAGGGATCAAAAGAAGAGGGAAATACTTAACCTAGTAGAGCTAGGGACACCTTAAGACTGGGTCACTCATGGCCTGGGAAACAGAGGAAGGTGACATCTTGGGACCACCACAGACAAATAGGCTACTGTGGTGTGGTTAGGAGCAAGTGAGGAAAGGTGTCAGTGATATTGCAAGGAAATCACTGTTGCTGATGTTATGTGTGGGGCAGAACTCAAACTTCTCTTGTAAATGAATTTTAAACAGTCAGTCCCACAATTCACTACCTCAATGTACCATGTGTCAAGGGCTTTCTTCTTCAACCTGGTATCTTCCAGGAAGCTGGAATACCACAATCGTTTCTTGGAATTATAAGTATTGTATCCAACAAAGTATGTTGGGGCGTTCACTTCTCAAGAAAGCTCTGTTAGAGCACCATCGTCTTTATCTTCACTATCTTCAAATTGCTTAATCCCATGAATCTTAACTGGTTGACCAGTGCAATCCTATGCATCATTGTTCAGAGGTTAGGGTCAGTTATACCCACTGGTGTTTATTGTTAGTAAAAGATGAGCAATGTTGCAGCCTAACATGCATAAATTTGCATATGAACAAAATAACATTTTAATGAGACATATGTAAGCTTTCTTTGACCTGGGGTGTTGCATGTCTTGAGGCAGGGGCCACCTCTGAAGTGACCTACCTTCCTTCTGCCATTTTTAGTTGTATATGTCAGACTTCCCCAACTGGCATGAGACGATAGTCCCGCCTTAGGCACAAAGCTGGCTGGGTGACCCTGGGCCAGTCACTCTCTCAGCCCTAGGAGGTAGGCACTGGCAAAACACTTCTGAAATCTTACCAAGAAAACTGCAAGGACTTGCCCAGGCAGTCGCCAGGAGTCAATACTAACTCAAAGGCACACACACGGCCAGCATGGCCAGTGGGGAGGTTGCTGGAGCATACTGCACTGGGGAAGACTGATAATGGATTTGTATTATTAAGAATAAAAATAAAATAAAATGGTGTTGCTCAATCAATTGAAGGGTGTGAATTTGGGGGTTGATTAAGAGCCATCAGTCATCCTACCTCATTATTGCAGCCTTAGTTAAATGTAAAAGAGTATTAGTTGGATAAATCTCTAGGAGTCATCCTTAGCTCACCTTAGCAGGAAGTCAAAATTAAGGATTCTTAATCCTCAGTAGCTGTTATCCAGCTTGTCCAGATATCACATCCTTTCCCTTCTCCTCTAACTTGGACAGCTACAAGAAAGGAGGCGGGGCAACTGGCTTCAACCATACAGAGACAAATTTCTACAATGTCAAGCGGCTTCTGCATGTTAAAGGCAAGAGGAACGTTACGGCAAGGGAGGTGAGCTTGTGCCCCAGCCATAGATCCTGCTTCAGGTGTGATGGTTTGGCTCCTGCACTACTAGTAAGCCATGTACTGTGATTGACTGCATCTCTTGATCTGTCCCTGCGTGCTCTTGTACACTCATCATCTGCAGGTGGAGATCAGCTGGGACAGCTTTAACCTTGGTGATGTGTTCCTCCTGGATCTGGGCAAAATCATTGTCCAGTGGAATGGGCCAGAAAGCAACAAGCAGGAGCGGCTGAAGGTATTTACTTTATCTCTGACCAAAAGGGTAGCTGGGCTGTTTGGGTTAAGGTGCTCTGTTGCCTCTGAGTCAGGTATATCCCCATCTCACTTCCATGGAGTGGGGAAGAAAAGAATTACATTTTCAAAAACTTCTTCACTTAGGGAAGAGCTGTAAGAAAGATGGAAGGCAAACACTCCTTTGTTATGTTTGTTTCAATATCATCATGAATTTAAATTTTGTTACAGATCTACTGTTTTTATAGATCAGCTCCTGTAGACCTGAGATATGGAACTTTCTTTGAGCCGAAGATCCGATTCCAAAAGCAGACATTGCTAGGATAAAGAATGGGGCTGTGCCAGACTGAAAACTAAATTTGATATTGTTTAATGAGATCATTTTCTATAGTTTTAACAAAAATTACATCAAACAAGTGCCATTAACAAGATTACTCCTCATGTGTTTAACCACTTCTCCCTCCTATCACATTAAAATCTACAGCATTTAGAATTGTTTTGGGAGATCACATTTAAGACATTTATGGGTCTCTAGGGCTTCATCTTGTGTATTTGTGGTATAAATGAAGTCACAGAGAGCTAAAAGAAGTTCTGAAATGAGCTATACCTGCTTACGGTAACATCGTGGCAAGCATAGCTCAGAGGCAGAGTGCATGGTTAGCATGCAAAAGGTCTCGGGTTCAATCCCTAGCAACTTCAGAAAAGGCAGAGGCAATCTGAGGTTATCTGAGGGACCGCCTCTTCCCTGAGGGACATCTACCTGTCCCATCAGGTCTGGCAGGAAAGACATGCTGTAGGTTCCGTCTGCACAGGAGTTCCATCTGATGGGACTTAGTAGGCAAGCCTTTTCTGCCATGGCACCCACCCTCTAGAACATCATCCCTCCCTTGAGCTAACCCTTGAGGTTAGCCCCAATCCTTATGGCCTTCTGTAAAGCTCTCAAAACATGGCTCTTTCAGCAAGACTGAGGATCCCTGGTAATAGGGAGCCTGCATGCTGGTTATATTGTATGTAAACATCTTCCCGCTCATGATCTTGTTTTATCCATGTTTATTCTTTTAATGGGTTTGCAAAATGTTTCAATTCTTGGCTTTACCGTACACCACCCAGAGTCACTTCAGGTGAGATAGGCAGTCCTATAAATTTGACAAACAAACAAACAAACAAACAAAAAATATCCTAATAGAGTACATAGACAATCAATGCCACTCAAGGTCAACTCAACTGAGCTAGACTGACCAATGGCCCAATTTCATATGAGGCAACTTCCCATGTTCCTTCTCTCTTTCTTAGGCTATGCTTCTCGCCAAAGATATCCGCGATAGAGAACGTGGAGGCCGTGCTGAGATTGGGGTGGTAGAAGGTGATGATGAAGAAGCCAGCTCAGATTTGATGAAGGTGCTGGAGAGTGAGCTTGGAGAAAGGACTCAAGAAATCAAACCTGCCATTCCTGATGAGGTGGTAGATCAACAGCAGAAGGCCAGCCTGTCCCTCTATTGGTACATTGAAAAATTTTACTCATGGTTGAAACTTGACCATAGTTGTCATTGATGCAAAAGTGGTAAAATTTTTGATGTGAATGTAAATGATGCATCCATTGCAAAGATCCATAGAACTCATAGAACCTTGGATTTGAATTAGAAGAAAACAAAAATTACCAACTTCAGCTTTCATCAACACTTAGAAAAGGGAAGGAAAAGTGAGATTTGGGGGAAACTGGAGGACCATGTACAGAGGTTTGTAGAATTTGGTGTGTCAAGGCAAGGATAGCGGCAGAATGGAATAGATGGCAACTGAGGGGAAGCAGGTGGAGCAAACATGCAGTGTGGTGGTAAGGCCAGAATAATGCCAGCCAGGCAAGAAAAGCTGGAACATGTGTGTCAATCTTGGTAAGATAAATCTAACTAGTCCAAATTTGTAAGTCTGTGGATGATTTCAAAACCAAAATCAAAACAGTTACTGAGCCATCTCTGAAGTTTATTGGAACTTCTTCCCTGATGCTACTTAGTTGATAGGGTGCTATTTTTCTTGTTCTTTTGGTTTTAAATCAGATCTGTAAAATTATAGTCAGATAGCAACTTAACCCAAGTTTCTGCTCTAAGACAGGGGTATATACTTGCTGAACATTCACAAATCATAGCCAACTACAGAGCCAGACCATAGTTTACACAATCAGAAATTAAATGCCAAGGTGTTAGAACAGAAAAGGAATAGGTGATGAGTCAAGTAACTGAAAGATGGTCCCTCTGGGTAGATTCACACATGCCTGTACATCAGTGAATTAGAAATGAATGTGGGAACTGTCTCTATTGAAATGTATCAGGATGGGAAGTACTGATGTAGGTATTTGATTTGTGATGAATACTTTATATTTAATTAATTAATTAACATTTACCTCTGTGGCCTCACTCTCATACTTCACACTGGATACTTCAGGAAGAATAAGTCAAATCTGGAAGAAATTCTAGAAATAGTTAAAAGGAATTCTGCCATTTCTTACGCTTGTAGATCAGACTAATCAAGAAAGCAATCTTGTCTTCTTTTCTAGTGTTACAGACTCTGGAGGGGAAATGCAAATTACAGAGGAAGCCAAACGGCCCCTCAGGCAAGAATTATTAAACCACAATGTAAGTCCAAGATTGAGGTGGCACAGATGGTGCTAAACTGAGCTTCTTAGCTCCAATACATCAACAGAGTAGCCCGTTGGATTATTACAAAAGGTGGATTGAGGCCCTACGTTCTTATGCTGACAGTGCTTCCCTAGAAATATTGGCTAAAATCAAACATATGGCAAACATATGACCCAATAAGTGTTTTGGCACAATGTTTTGGAAAGATAAGTTTGTGCTGGCTATGGTCAACTTAATCACAGTTCAGTCAGGAAACCCTATTTTCTGCCAGATGACACTCTTGGTCATTAACCACACAGCTTGGGGTTACACAACAGGCTAGGCTAAAATGTGATTGGCTGAGTTGTGTCTCAGTGTGTTGTGTGGACACAGCTGGGGATACCAGAATGCTACAAATGGAAATATTTGTCCCCTTGTCTGTCAGTTGCTGATCCCTACTATAAACTTGACCATACCCTGCTACCATACAAAATATATCAAGTATTTTTGCCCACTGCCCAGTTTAAGGTTGGTGTTAGAGAAGGGACTTAGTTCAGTAGCAGAGCACATATTCTGCACGTGAAAGGTCCCTGCTTTACCCTTTGGGATTTCTGGTAAGGCTAAGACTACTGCCTTAAAACCTTGGAGAACTGAGCCAGGTGGATTAATGGCCTAACTAGATAGAGGCTTTTTCCTACAGTCTTCTTGTCTGCAGGAAAATCAGGGCCACAGGCTGGAAATTAGGATTCCTCATTTTAATCCATTTCCCAATTGCTGTAAAGCCAGTTCAGTGGCCACCAAAAGCCATTTTGCAGAGATCCGAACTATTTGTACAATGCTCTTAATGATCTCCTTTGGGCCTTAGGACTGCTACATTCTGGACCACAGTGGGACGAAAATCTACGTCTGGAAGGGAAAGGGGGCCACGAAGCTGGAAAAGCAAACAGCCATGTCGAAAGCCCTGGTATGGTGTAACCATCCAACTCAAATGGCCTCTTCCCCATTCTCTCTCTTTAAAATCGGATTGTAAATAGATTTCTTAATGTGATACTTAAAGAAGTAAAGCTTACGTGCTGCAGGTGCTAGTGGTAGGAAATAGTTAAAAGAATTGTGTGTGTGTGTGTTTAAAGAACAGTGTTGCTTTACAACAGGCTCTAACAGTCAGAACAGCACAAGGCGCTGCAGGCAGTACCCATAGAGTGGCTACTAGTCAGAGCAGGATCTTCAGCAGGCCGGTAGTATGCATGAACTACAGCTACCGGATCTGTACTGCAAAACTCTGGATGAGCCCTGCAACATAGAAAAGGGTGAGATGTTATGTAGCTTTATTGCCACCTTGTGGTTGGCTGGAGTTTTGCAGCCCAAATGTGGTACTACAGTTTAAGAAAAATTGCTGGAGTGAAAAAGCAGCCATATGCATCCATCATACTGTTCTCTTTTCGGGTATGCAATGTTACACAAACTGCAGAAATGGAGTAAGAAACAGTCAGCCAGAGAAATTGCAGCATATGAAAGAGGAAAGGAGATACAGATATATCTAATTTATACCATCTCCATTCATTCTACTTCTCTGGATCTTTCTCTCATGGCAAACCATCTTTGCTTCCACCCCATCCATACACTACCTCATATATTCCCTTTTATTCTTTTACCTTTTGCAGGATTTTGTCAACTCTATCCAATCACTTTCTTGGCCTTCTCCTCTCTCTCAACCTGTTCTCCTTAGTCATTCTTTCTATATGACCAACCACCTCAGCCTACTTCTTTCCAGCTGGTCACTGATTTGGATTCAACCCATGTGAATTCTTCTCCCATTCAAGCGACTGCCTTTTATCATACACATTTCTGACATATCCCATTTCCAGCTGGATTCAACTTACTTTTATGTTTCTCCAGACCAACATAATTCTCACTTCCATAGAATAAAGAGGGCAGAATCATGGTCATATACATAACCATTTTCACTTCTGATATCTAATTTGGCAGAACAGATCAGATACTCCCCATAACTTTTCTATTAACAAACAGTTGCCAAGGTCCTGTTGAAAGGCAAAAGCCAAGTTCACCTAAAGCAGTGTTTTTCAACTTTGGCAACTTTAAGATGTGTGGACTTCGACTCCCAGAATTCCCCAGGCAGCTTCCTGGCTGCAGAATTCTGGGAGTCAAAGTCCACACATCTTAAAGTTGCTGAAGTTGAAATACACTGAGTTAGGGGATAACTGAATTTAGTATATTGTGGCAATAGAGCTGTTGTGCCATTTGTCTTGTTCCTATAGGACTTTATTAAGAAGAAAGGCTATTCTTCCAGCACCAGTGTGGAGACTGTACACGATGGAGCAGAGTCAGCCATGTTCAAACAGCTATTTCAGAACTGGGCAGTCCAGGAACAGACTGTAGGGCTAGGAAAAGCCCACCACGTGGGAAGAATTGGTAAGAAAGAACTTGTTGCTGGATTTGATGCTGTATGCCATCTAAAAAGAGAATTACATAACATCCTGGTCTGATGGTCTCCTGCAGTTGAAACCAACTTTTAACAAGGCTGCAGGATCCAGGGCTACAGAAATCCAAACCGCCATTAGATGGCACCAAAGGGTTAGGGCTTTCTGAATCTTTTTGCTGCTATTTAGCGGTCATCTAGATTTTTGCAACCCAAGATATAGAGAGCCAGTTCAGTGTACTAGCTAAGGCTGGGTGGATTTGCAGCCCAACCCACCTCACAGGGTTGTTGTTGTGGAAAAAATAGGAGATGGGAGCATTGTATATGCCGCCCTGAGTTGTACAAAATAAAGGCAGAATCTAAATATAGTAATAATAATAGTAGCAATAAGAGAGAATTGATTTTTTTAGTGTGGCATTCAGAAATCTAAAAAAAACTCCTTTTTTTCTTTTAGAGCAAGTAACTAGTCCTCCTTCTTTTCACTACTAATATTACCTTACTATAGCACATAACCCACCATTATGATAGGTTATTATGTCAAAGAGTTGCAGTCTAAAATAAGAGGCACCAAAAATGCTTGCTTTTTCCCTCACTTGTCAATGCTCTCTTCCTCGTTTCTTGCTTGTGTTTTAAAATTGTGTAAAGTGAATTGGACATTTGAAGAACGGGGCTGGCAGAAGTGTCAAAGAACAGCTCTCAGCGGCGTTGGAAGGGACTAGCCATTCCCACAACGCAAGCACTAATCCCCAGGCAGGCGTGCAAAGGGATTGAGAGCCGACTCTGGGGAAGGCATGAGTGAACTGTTAAGGAGGGATGTGGAGAAGTGATTACGCCATCCAGAGTCAGAATAACCCTGCCTTGACTTCGCTCAGTATAAGATGGGGCAGAGAGAAACTCTGACAGGCTTTCAAAGATGGGGATGGGACTGTGGGTCACAAGCCGCTCCTATTTCCACGCTGAAACCATCTCAGACTACTCCAATAGCATTGCCTGATTTCATCAGCATGATTGGGGATGGAGGGATGGATTTGGGGGAGTGAGCGAGTCACCCCCGACCGCCGCCCGCCGCCC